TGCAAGTGATCTCGTTCTTGCTGATCCTCTTGGTTGGGGTGTCGTAAATGGCAGAACTCGGACAGCTCCACAGACATACGAAGGAGGGCAGAAACGCGCTCCCAAGGACCTGCAGCGATTCGCCGCCAAGGAAAGGAGCAATTGCTGGCGTGAAGGTAAGGAAATATGCCAACACCGAGACAACTCTGTCCTGCCCGTACCAACCAACAACTGACCCGTTCACCAGCAGCATTGCACTCGTTTCACATTCCACAGAGTCCCACGGCTTCATCGGACAACGCAATTCTGTATTGGACTGAAGGGAACAAGGAACCTTGTACAGATATTCAGCATCATCTTGACACTGGAGTATCAACTCGAACTTCGCGCCCGCTGGAGGGTTGAGCCCCTCGCCACCGATTGTCAAGGTATCAGACCCAGCTGAGCTGACCTTGGATGGAGAAATCGAGTTCCATCCAGATCGGAGATATTCAAAAGAATAATTACAATATGAGATTGCAGCTTGGTTGTACGTTGCCCGTAGAATCCCGACTCCAGATGCGAATGGGACAGTAGGCGACTGACACGTCACAGATGTATGATCCAAGAAAGAGGCTGTGACATTGATTTGGAAATCTTGAATCGAGAAAGAGCATTTTACGGTCGTATCAAACCTATGCCCATGTAAAGTGATGGTTGACCCTCCGATTGCGAGGCTTTTGCTGGGCTCAACAGACGTGCAGAAAGATTGGTAGATAAAGAATAAAGGCTTTAGAGACATGACATTGATGTCTCCATTCTTAAGTGAAACTTGAGTGGAGCAATAGCTGGTCTCCCATGGAGGAAGCTTGAACGCAAGGGCGGAAGGGTTGACAAAGGTCCCGTACTCTGATGCTATCTCTGTACTTTGGCTTGAGCATATGAATGTACATCGATACCGCCCAGAGACCGAGAATCCAGCGCCGTGTACGGTGATCATGTCAGATACGTCGGTAACTTCAACAGGGGACAACTCTTTGACACTCTCTGTTGCAATTAGCATGTCAGAACCATAGTAGAGGTTGGTGTGGAAACAAGAAAAAATCAAGCTCACCATAGAAGAGGATTTCAAACACTCCCCCGCGCTTGTAAAGGAGGTCCTGTCCGATCAAAACGTCGAGAACGACAACTTCTGCTGAATGATTCCAGAAAGGAGCTTGGCAAACCATGCTGTTGAGTGTTATGTTGCGAGCGGGCTTCTGGATAGAAACATCTGCTCCAGTAAATCTACAGAGAAGTCAAGTCGAGACAAGACGTGCATGGGTATGGTTTACTTGCAGGAGTATTGCTGTTGCGGATTGAAACCAAACCCATGTACCAACAGATCGCTTTCAGAAGCAGCAGCTACCTCCTTGTCATCAGCCTTGGTCCATCCACCTGCGTGCAAGACTTAGTAAATCAAGTGATGCCAAACATGTCAGACATGGCACACCAGAAAAATTAAACTGCAAGAGTGTGCTGTTACTAGCAACTTTCATTGGTCCCTCGTACAGAAGAAATGCTGTGTTGTATGCCGGAAAATTCCACTGGGTCACCGTGCACAGTATTTTGCTCGTACTCGAGATGTCGGCGGGTACAGTCAAGTGACAATTATTAGATTCCAAGGAAGCTTTCCACAAGTAGTCAACAGCTGTAGTGTAGTTGCAAACGAAAGCGCAGGAATACTCATATCTGTCGTTGAACCCTCTCCCTGTCACTGTGACTTGCACTGACTGGTCGGCGGGACTTGTCTGCGGAGATATAGAGTAGACCATTCCTGCATTGAACGATGAGGGGAGGGAAGACAAGAATAGAATCAAAGTAGCTACTGACCTCGGGCTGACATAAAGGACGTGAAGAACAGGAGACTTGCAAGGACGAGGCTGCGGTTAGAATTTTGCTTCATGGCTAGAGGGGAGAGAAGTATGCTTGTATAGACGAGATGAGAGTTCTTGTTGCTATGTACAGACTAGGAGATCGAAACTGTCAGGAAGCGAGAGTCGGTGAGTCGCTGGTCGCAGAGGGAAGGATCTATCGGACTGCAGACAGTTCGAAAGCAGGAGAGACAACAGCTGGGCAGCGCGGGCAGGAGCGAGAGAGCATGGTGAAGTGAAAGCAGAAGCAGGAAAGGGATTAGCGATCTAGGCAGCGGCCTGCAGCGCCCCCCCCATATGCTCCGCCATGGCGCCTGCACCGAACAGCCGACTGTGTGAAACCCTGTGAAACGTCAAAGCCCTCATCCCTCCATTGACCTGAACTAGTCACTCCGAGTCGGAGTCACAATTCCGGGCCGGGGCCGGGAGTCACCCCGGGCCGGAGTCCCGGGCCCCCGGACGGCGGTTGACTCCGCCTCCGCAGGGGATGATGCGTTGCACTTTCGTCCTTTGCTGCCATCATCGCCGCCTCCGCTGCCGGGCGACTCGAGCGACTCAGGCCTCCTGCGGCCAAACAGTCACATATGCAGTGCGGCATCATGGCAGCGCAGCCTCCGAGCGCAGTCACCGCGGCGGCCACATACGAAGATCAATCAAACAAATTGTGGCCACCGTGGCATGGGCCACCGTGACTCAGTGCCCCAGGGCGACTCGGACTCCGTCGGAGAGAGCCTGATTGAAGACAAAAACTGTCTTGTTACAACTATACTGCTGATAACGGTCGCCGGATATGTCGATATGGACGGTGTCTGCACTGCGCGGCACTGGCTGTTTCAACTCTCAAACACAGTACAAGTCTAACAAACTTGTGCTCCGTCGGTTATGAGCCTCGTTTACATGATCGTTTTTCTGTGGGTATTGTTTCGCCAGGCAGAACGTTTCCCAACATGGCCCTGAAGATCATCATGTAGGGGACTTTGAACTTCCACAACTGACTCAGTGATGGCTACTGGCGGCGGATGGCATGGGTTAATCCTGGACTTCAGCATGGCCACATGTTTTTGACAATGAATACCGGACCTCGCTCGGAGCAACTTGTGACTGCAAGCGGCAGCACAGCGGAAGATCCGAGGGCCGGGCCGCATCGTAATGCATATGCTCAGCACGTCCCGCCAAAGGCCTTTCTTCCGAGCCCATCATCGCCAGCACTGATGGCCTCTTGCAGGACGATGATGCGTTGCGCTTTCTGTGGTGGCTGGCGGATCATCGGCGCTCGGCGAACAAGGAAACGGCAGCGCTGGATGGTCTCTCGGCCTCGCAAGACGTCTCAGGTGATCCGACTTGCAAACGCATCCGGGTCACCGGGTCCAGGATCTTTAACGGTCAGCTCAAGGCCTCCCTGTCCTCCGATCAGTGCGACATCGCTGGCATGCGGCCGCGCGGGGGACTTGTCCTGCGCGCCGTTTAGTGAAGGTATCAGTTAAGTTTGGGGGACAGCAGTTGGCAGGATTGGGTTTGGTTCTCGCTGTCTCAGTTTGCTCTTCTCGCCGTTTGGCCTGTGCGACAGTGTCAGGGTCAAGCCTCCTCGACTCTCCTGATTGTCCTCGTACTGATTTTTAACTTAACTTTGAGTAAAGTTTCGCCATCACTCAGCCCCGGGCCCCCGGCCGCGGCGTTCGGACTCACCGGGCCGGGGCCCGGCCCCCGTCCGCCGCCGCACATCAGAGGCCCGGGCTGAGTGATTCAATGACTCGATGACTAGACGTTGATAAGATAACGGTTTGAATCGCTTTCTACTATTTCCGTTGCAGGCCGTTTGGATAGGATGGGCAATGGGCATTTCGGAAAATTAAACCCCCCCCCAAGCGACTACCCACCCACCCACCCCCCCCCCCCCCACCCCCCCCCCCACCCCCTCCCCCCCTTTTCCTGTCCCGGCCACCCTTTGCTTCGAGTTGAACCCCCTCGACACAATCGGAATGTCAACCAATCACAAGGGGTCCATTATTGATGATCTAGCAGCGGATATAGTTAACAGTTTGGGAAAGGGAGGGTGGGGGTTCGCAATGGCAGCATGAAGTACTAACTTAGTGAATCGAGGGGGTGGTGGTGGTCTGAAAGTTGATAATGGGGTGGGTGGACTGGTTCTCAGTGTTTGGGTCGGATAACGACAAATACAACCACCGTATCTAAAACAGACTTATTGTTGAACCAGGTGGGGGTAGTAACCCCTACCCTCTTAAACGAAGGTGTCAAGACCCGGTTGGTGGCCACCCCGCAAAGGATCTCACCATCAAGTGATGCCTGAACAAATTGTCAGCCTCGCCGTGATCGGTGGAGGGTGGGGTGGGTGAAACTCCTGGAAGGGACAAGTGAAAATATTCCCATCTACGGAATCGGAAAGAACCCCTATACCCGCAATTTGCATGATTTAGAAAGCTGAACTACATAGGTGGGTGGTCATGATTCTGAAAAAGCCGAAATATTCCTTGATTCCCTAAAGCGGATTCGCAATTGGGTGATTTGAGGGTACTAATTCTGTCGAGGGGGTACACAGTCATGGTCAATTTCACTACCCCCCTCATTCCGACAATATACGGGGTGCTAGGAGAACCTGGTCGAACTTCAGTTTGGAAGTTGGGGTACTATCTCCAAGGGTGGGGTGATCGAAACGTGGGGGTCATGTCAGTCGTAGGGGGTAGGGGTAGTAAGGAGCGTTGGAAGAGGGGGAACAAGCAGTTGCAAACAGACAACCTGAAGGAGAGGAAGGAGGAAGAGAGAAAGATCGAGTTGAAGAAGCAGAGCAAGTAGTTGTTGTAGTAGCAGCAGCAAGCAGAGGAAGGAGCTGAACTCATCGTTAGTTGGTCGTTGTAGTGCGAGATATTGGGAAGCGAGCGGAACAACCAGCTGCGCAAGGTTAGATTATTACCCCTGCAGTCAACTACCTGTTCAATCAAGGGCATCAGGTATTCAATCACTTCTTCTCGATCAGGGCGTAAGGTGGAAGGCTTCAGTGATATGATGTATGCTACTTTGTACTAGACATCGTTCCAGTACTCCATAAGCTTTCAGATCCAAGTGCATTTAACTCCTCGAGTCACTCGAGGCTCAACCGACATAAACTACAAGATGGAAGCGCTTTCTCTTTCAGTCTCGCCACTGTCCCGCATTGCTTCGGCAGATGGCCACATCTCATCCCGACCTGAAATGCCTGCCGAAAGACTGGATTTGAGCGATCATGACTTGGAGGATTGGGAAGACAACATCCTTTCGGACGACTCCGATACCTCTCTGCTTCCCAAGTTCGCCGATTCTTTCAGAAGAAAGCTCGGCACATACACTTGCAGGGCCAACACCCCAAAGCTGTGGACAGCAAAGACCCAGCTTGATTTCCAGCATCAGGACGTTGAATCCGGTGTGCAGGAGTCGAGCGCGCGCTTCTCCGAGACATCGCCGACTGAGATGAGCTGTCGGTCTACTCCAAGGAAGGACGACAGCGAGCTCGACCCCCTCATCAAGCAGTGCGCCTCAATACCCACCCTGGATGAAGTGTTGGAGGAGGAGGAGTTGGAACTCCTACGGGAGCAGCAGGAAATGATGAACAAGGAGGTTCAGATCATGGCTGAACTTCAGCTGGCTCAGGAGAGGCAGGAGGAGCATCGCAGGAGGATGGAGGAGGAGCAGATGGCCTTGATGCGTGCGGAGCAAGTCGCCATGATCAACTTCCTGAAGCTTCAGACCGTGAAGGGCAAAGCGCAGAACGCTCGGCCGACCACTGCTCCTGCCAAGTCCCGGACTGTGGTGCAGGTGGACCAGGGGAAGGCAGGGGATAGCCAACTACATCCAGGGCATCGCACAGGCCCCGTGGAGGAGCAGAAGGTTACTCAGAACCGTCCTCAGACCGCGATGGCAAGAAGACCTGACACCTCGCACAACGAGCACCTCCCAGTCACTGGCAGGGTGAGGCCCCAGACTGCTGGGGTCAGACCGCAAACTGCTCTCGTGACGACCGAGCATGCTGAGAGCAGTCCGCAGCAGCCGGAATTGGCGAAGAAGGAGCTGGCGAGGAGGAGGCCGTATACGGCCGGAGCCTCGAGAGACCAGTCCAAGACGCGCTCGACTTTTAGCCTGCTCAACCCGTTTCGCGCGCTGAAGAGGAAATTTTCCATTCACCCCATGTGGGCCAGGCCCAGGGCGGGAGTGAGAATCAACTGGTGGAGCAGATCTCGTCATCTTTCAGATCATCCGCCAAGTACGATGTGAGATAGTTTTCCATGTGGAACAGCCACATGTGTTTATTTCTGTTTTTCATTCAAAGTTTACATTAGGCAAGGTTTATGTAGGGAAAATTGCGAATGAATGTGATATTGGAATCTTGTTGCGAATGAATGTGATATTGCAATCTTGTTGCGAATGAATGTGATATTGCAATCTTGGACTGGCACCCGGCCTTTCACAGGAGGTGAAGCTTGCTCTGCTTGCTCGTAAGGCAGATCTGAACAGAAGCAAAAGTTTCACCTGCACGGCTTTAATCTCGTTCCTCTCCAGGCTCTGACCGGGGACCGAGACGACCTTCCAGTGTGTCAGTCGAAGTGATGGTGATGGTGATGGTGATGGTTATGATGGTAATGTTTGTGTGGTTGTTGTTGTTGATGATGGTGGTGGTGATGATGATGTAGAAGAAGATGATGATGGAGTTGTTGAAGATGTCCACAGGGCTCACATTGAGCTTAAAGTTTGACGCGAGCCCATCTTCCTGGCAAGCTCCCTGTCCTTCCCGACGACCTGGTGGGTGAGTGGGACCACAAGGTCCACCTCCTCCTCCTCATACAGCCTCTTCAGCAGCCTCTCCGCCACCTCCTCAACCGGCTCAATGCTCGCGTTGTTGAACGCCCCGGGTCGGTACAGCGCCTTGTCCTCCGTGAGGAGCCCCAGGAACGCTATCCTCCTCCTCTTACCCCCGCTCTCCACCTCAATGATCTCGAACTCGCTGGTTCTGTCCGCCCCCTTCCCCAGTTGGATGTCCGTCATGTTCGAGTTGACCCAACGGAAGGAAGACTGCAGTATCCGGCTGATCAGCTCTGGGTGGGGGACGTCCGTCTCGTGGTTCCCGAAGCACACTAGCTCCACCCCGCAAGCGTTCAGACACTCCACCATCCCCATCCCGTTGTCCAGGGATGACAGCAGCGAAGGCGCCAGGAAGTCTCCGGGGAGCACGAAGATCGTCCTCGCCCCGTGCTGCTTCGCCTTCACTGCCGTCGCCAGGTGGGGCAAGTTGTCGAGCTCGTACACGTCGTTGACCGACAAGATTCTCACCAACATCGGCTCGTGAAGGTGCTGCCACTGCTGATGCTCCTCCTCCTGCCGTCTCAGCTCCTCCTCCTCCGCCTGCCTCACGTAATCCTGCATCGTCATCTCCTCCTCGTTCGGTGGCTCTGCACCTCGCTCCCCCTCCGCCTTGACTTCTGCTCCCGCGCTCCCTTCCTTCACATGCTGGTTCTCGCTGGCACTCATCCCCTGCTCAATAACGGCAGGATCGACGCCAAAGGAGGGGACGCGAGCCAAGAACGCTTCCTCCCTCTCCTTCTCGAACTGCTTCATAAGTTCTGCATGCTCGTCCACAACAGGACCCTCCTGCTCTCCTGGTCCACTCTCCTCCTCAGCGAACGCCTCTTGCCGCTGGGCCTCGAACATCTTGAGCAAGTCATCGGCTGTCTGCTCAGTCGTGTGCTCAGTTTCCTCCGGCTTACGCGGAGTTTTCTTCTCCTCCTTCTGCTTCTTCTGCTCCTGCCGTTCGTTCTGACCTTTTCCTCCTGCCTCCTGCTGCTTGTGATCTGTAGCAACAGATTCGGGCTTGGAGGAGCCACAGCCCATCTCGAGTATGCTCCTCCTGCCACAGGAAGCGTCAGCTGGCTGAGAGCAGAGTTCGAGTCACGATGTGCGACTAGGTGCAACAATGCAAGGGGAGGCTAAATGAAAAGCAGAAGCGGAGTGTAAGAAGAGAGATCATTGCAGAAAGAAGAGAAAAACTGGACATTTCAAAACAGAGATCTGATCTCCTGAATCCAACAAAGATCTCCTAGCAATGCTTCATGCAAAACCTCCCTCGCTCCTCTGCACTGTTATTAATCCCTTCCGCAAGCAAGCGGAGCACCATATTTTTTTTGGCCTCTCATTATTCCATGGATGCTATGAAAAAGAAACACCATGATATCGATCAAATCAAGTCTGAAGCCTCCTCTCCTCTCCTCTCCTCTCCTCTCTTTTGTCGTCGATGCTTCATCCTGGGTCCATTTATAACATCTGTAACCTCTTCCGCATAATTGCTCCACCCCCGTCAACTACTCCCAATCTTTGCTCTTTCTGTCCTCCCTTCATACTTTCTCAACTCCCTCTGTCTTCTTCCATCTCCTCTCCTCCTCTCCTCCTGCCCTTCCTCCTCTATCTCCGTCCTGAATAGTCCGCATGTCCCTCAACCGTCGGCCAGGTAGTTGCTTCTTCGATAATAGCTGTTTTCAGCCTTTCGTGTGTACCAAAGAGTTACCTCCATCCACCCCTACCCCCTCATTATCTGCGCGTTTTCGAGGTATACACCCCTATTTAAAATGTTTTAATATGTTCTAAAACATATTTTACCGCCGGGGCCGGGCGACCGGGGTGGCCGCTGCGCCGGAGTACTCGTGAACTCACGAGTCAGTTACTGTGCCACCCGGGCCGGGCGGAACTTGAAGGCCGCCCGGGCCGGGCCGGCCCCTCAGACTACGGTGACTCGATCGGACTCTTCGAACTGAACTTCATATGGTATTCGTGGACTTCACAGTTGGGAGCCTGCCACCGCCGGGCCCGGCCCCCGGCGGCCGGCACCGGGCCGGGGACCGCCGAGGGCCCGGCGGCCGGGCCCTCGGAGTCCCCGGCCGCTTGAAGATCAACCCGCCGGATCATCCGGAGTCCGCGGGGGCCGGGGGCAGTGAACCTTCAAGTTTACTCAAGTTGAAACTGATCCTACTCTTTTATGAGCCCGCCTCAGGGCAGATGTCTTGATGTTTTTAAAACTACTTTTTGTTGTCATTTTTGGAAGCACCACGGTGCCTTCGTTGCCAGCCGTACCCCCCTTGGGACTACAACAGGTCCCTCAACAAGTACCCCCTACTGTAACCAATAAAAAGAGACGAAAGGGTGGGTAGTACCACCACCACTCGATGTTAATTTCTTTCAAGGGTGTTTGTGTTATAGAAAAACGAGTTTTATTGTGACAAAACGTTTCGTTAATACATCGTTTCGATTGATAATTAAATTTTAATTTGAGCCCCACCCCTACTTGTTGTATCCACCCGCCTGGAATCTGGAAATGATCACAAGCACCTCCTACCCCACATTATCCCTTTTACTACCCCATTATTCCCCACAAAAGTGATTATTTGAACACCCCACCCATCTACTGATTGTGTGATATTTTGAGTACCCCACCCATTCTGGGTCATCAGTCTCCTATATTATCCCCTGGTGTAAGAGGAGACCGTACTCAGCCAGCCATGAACAAGGTAAGCTACGATGCGCGATGGAGAAAGAGGAAGACCATGAGAGAAATGAAGCTCAAGGGGGAGAGAATAGAGTGATGCAAGGCGGTAGTCCATCAGTCTGAGCCATGGTGTGGAGAAGAGGTGTTGGATGGGGTTTTGTGTTTTGTGACAAATATGCATATTCGTTCCTTCGCCAAAGATTGCGTGCCACTGACCGTTCTTGTGCAGGCTGTACTCTTCCTCGTCTTTTGTGCTGTCGTCCATTCCTCCCTAGCATTGGGAGAGGACGATCACGACTACCACGATCACAACACCCCTGGTGCTGATCCTGGACCCGGACCTCGACCTGGACCGGGTCCTCGACCTGGACCTGGACCTCACCCAGGACCTGGGCCTCACCCTGGACCCGGACCCGATCCCCACGACCCGAAGATGGTTTGCAGCCATGACTTCATGCGGTTCTGCGCCTTCAGGGTGCCGGACATGGATAACTTCGAGCAGATCATCCAGTGCATGCAGAGCCACTCGGCGGACTTGGTCCCCGAGTGCAGGGCAATCGTGCAGAACATCTCCGACGACATTGCAGCGTTCCACACCGCCTGCGATACCGACATGCAGGCCAAGTGCCCCGACGCCATCGGCCAGCCCATGAAGACCCACGAGTGCATCATCGTCAACCTGGCCGACCTCTCGCACGGCTGCCTCGCAGAGATCTCTACCATCGCTCAGAAGATGGAGAAGCACGCGGGCCCACACGGCCCTCCTCCCCGGGGAGTCATGGATGCCTACCCTGGCCTCTTCGGGCAGTTCCAGGCCGGTGGCGAGCCGCATCAGGGCACGATGTTCATGAACAATGACGAGGATCGCCAAGGGTGAGGGACGGGCAGTGCTGGCCCCCAGTGAGCTCACGTTGGACCTGCAGGAAGCACCATGGATTCATCGGCAGTTTCATGTTCGGAGCTGTCGTAAGCGCCCTGGTGAGTTCTGGTCAAAGAGACCGCTGGGATTGTGATGGAGTTTGTGCAGGTGGTTGGCAGCGTCCTCTTTGTCAAGAAGGTGATGAAGAAGAGGCGCGGTTGCTGCCGCCATGGCTGCAAACCAGCTCTCCAGCATCCTCCCTTCCCCGGAGTCTGGATGGAGGGACATCAGCCTGTCGGTGCTCCGATTCTTGCGCAGACTGCGGACAAGGTGAGAGGAGCTTGTTCTGTCAGGCCATGAGTCGCTGACCAGACTTGATGGCAACAGAATGCCGACTCTTACCACCAGTTTGCTTAAGAGGAGTCTGAACGTCATGTCGTGAAGAGGTTTTCTTGAAATTTTGTGTTGCAACAAAGAAAGCTGTAATTTAGTTATCTCCTTGTTTTATTCTTGCCATTGAAATAAGCTTTGTCCATCAACATCTGCATTTGCTGCGAACCTGTCATCGCACAGAGCTGCCTCATCCTCCCAACGCACCTGCAGGTCGCGCTGGGGACAGGGCTTCACCTCTCCAGCCTGGAGCATTCCGAGACGGAACATGCCGTACCTGCGACCTGTCAGAGGGCAACCCGCGCTTGCTCGCCTCCCTCACTTGACGCGTATCAGGCGCGTCACTTCCCATCCAAAGGACTCGATGACCCTCCTGATCTGTTGCCGCACAAGGTCACGGAAAGAAGAGGGTCCAAGGAGGCGGGTATGACCTCGCGGTTTTTCCCTTCCCTGAGTACCATGGCGATCCAACGGTTCGACTGGTTCTTCGGCTCTGGAGGAAGGGAGCGGAAGGAAGAGCAATCATCAGGTCAAGGCCCTCCTCCCTCCTCCCTCCTCCCTCCTCCCTCCTCCCTCCTCCTTCCGCCTCCTGGGAGGATCGAGAAGAATGCAGTTGCTCCATACCTCTGTCTTCAAACCTCGGGTCGTCGAACCTCGCATCGATCCCCTTGTACTGGACCCCAGCAACCGACAGTCCCCTGGCGCACGCGTGAGGGAGGGAGTCAACACTGTCGCGCCACCTGGCTAGCTGTTCCAGCTGCTGGTCGGACACCCTGGGTCCATGCACGCGAACGCGGTACTCCCTCTCAATGTTGTTTGCCTGGCAGAGGCTCCTCAGTGCCACATCGCGTTCTCCCCCGTCGGACTGACCGGCAGCTCCAGGAAGCGTTTGATCTCTCCGTCGTTGGTGAGCACGAGCAAGCCTTCTGTGGAGAAGTCTAGCCTGACGCTGAGCATGAGAACTACCGCAGGAGCCTCGCACGATGCTGCTACCTCCCCACAGGGCTAATGTTCTGCCAGAACTCGTCTTGGGGAAGCAGGTCATAGATTGTCGGGCGGGACTAGAAGGAGTAAGAGGAAGGAAGTCGTGCTGCAGGTCCGTCTTACCAACGGGTCGGATTTCGTCGTCAAGTAGCCTTTGGGCTTGTGGAACAGGACTGAGAGGACGGGAAGCAGTAAGGGCGCCAATACTTCAAGGCAGCAGACCCACTGATCTGAGGAGGAGTGTGGGGGTCAATCTCCTTTCCATAAACCTTCACCACATCTGAACTGCAACGTCACTCTCTTGCAAATGGACATCAGAGCAGCGGACCTGTCACGCTCAACCATGTGCTGCAAGAAGTGACGACGTTCCCGTTGACCTCCACGTCTCCTGCCTTGATGATGTTGATGGCTTCACGCCTCGAGCAGAGACCACTCCTCGCGATTGCCTGCAAACAGAGGTTGGGAGGGTTGGAAGGGTTGGGGGGAGAGCGCGATCAGGGGAAGAGAGAAGTTGAGGCCACTCTATGCTCATCATTTTTACCTTTGCGAGGATGGGTCCAGCCCTCTCCTCCTCTTGCATGTCTGAAAAGGAGCGAGAAAAGGTTTGCTAGGAAGATTTTTCAACCACATCGAAGGCGAGCAGCAGAGCTCACCGTCATGCCTGAGCTCCTCATGTTGCAAGGAAGACGGTTGATCCCCCCTAACCATCTCCATCCTCTTGCCGCTCCTCCTCCTCCTCCTCCTCCTCCTCCTCCTCCTCCTCCTCCTCTTGCCAACATCCCGAGCATGCACCGCAATGCTGCCATGTTGCCTGGAACGTGAGGTCAGTACGTGCAGGAATACCTGCCTATGAACAGGAGTATTCAACGTTGCTGTCTTTGTTAAAATTTTTGAGGCGGACTCGTATTGCTACTACTTGAGTAATAACCCTTGTTTGTGCTAGCCATTACGATTTCATGGAGGAAAGGGAGGGAGGGAGGGAGGAAGCAAGTGAGATGGGGAGGGATATAAGGAGAAGATGAAGCGACTTAGCATGATGCGATACTGGAAAGCTGGTCCGTCCTGTCTCAGATCATCTTGCAGCTTCCTCTGGCACAAACTATCTCGCTCCTCTTGCTTGCCCGCTCAACCACCCACCAAGCTATGCCTCTCCCAGCCGTCGACACGCTCCCCCATGATGATCAGATGGGACTATGCCCATCCTGCCACACGAGATACCACACGACGATCGTTCTGCGAGCAGCAGCGACAGGCTGACTTGCACATAGATTGTATCGCCACCCCCAACCCAGATGCACTGAAGTTTGACGTGGGTCATGATGTAACGGGGAGCCTTCAGTCCTTGTCGATCAGCCATGGAGATCTGCACATGTTCCAACAAGACCAGCATCTAGCCCACATAGCAACCCAGTTGTTTGCCGTCAAAGGAGTGCGCACCCTTCTGTTCGGCCCAGACTTCATCACGGTGAGGAGCCGGGAACGAGATTGCCTGCCCCGTCACGATGTTCTCTTGCCAGGTTGTCAAAGACCCCGAAACGGAATGGGCGGAGACGGAAGAGCTGCTGATGCAGGTCCCTGCCCCTCCTGCTGGCTGGGTTCTCCTGACGTCAGCAAGCAGATCTTGCAGGAGGAGCTCAATGCGGCCAGACAAGATTGCCGTCCTCTAGCTAAAATCTCTCAGGAGAGCATCAACCAACTGATAGCGAGCAAGTTTGATCAGAGCCAAGTGCGTGCTGTAACTCCCTCTCCTCTTCTTCTCCTTCTCCGTCTTGTCCTCCTCTCTCTCTCTCTCTCTCTCTCTCTCTCTCTCTCTCTCTCTCTCTCTCTGACCTTCTCCTCGCCCCCCAAATTTCAGGCCGGAGTCGTTGAGAAGATCCTGGAGCTCCTTGAGGAGAAGGTGGCGCCGCACGTCAGGGCCGACGGTGGAGATGTACAGGTGCAGCCAAGGCCTTGCTGACCTGCTCGCTCCTCCTCCTCTTGTGGTCTGACTGCCGCCGCAGTTTCGGGGCTTCAAGGATGGAGTTGTGTGGCTGTCGCTGGTTGGAGCCTGTACCTCTTGCTCGTCTTCTACCGTCACAGTCAGATTCATGGTTAGAGGAGGTGGTCACCGTAATCTGCATGCTAACATGATCGTTAGATCCGCAACCTTCTTATGCACTACATGGATGAAGTACGCTGTCAGACATGGAGGTTGGCTGGTAACAGATATGCAGGTGAAAGACGTAAAGGCGATAGAGCAAGGTGAACAAATCCCCTCCTAGACGTTGCGAAAGAGTCGTTTAAGTCTGCAGACACTGACATAGAAAAGAATGTTCGAGCAAATGAGCTCGTTAAGTCCAACACTAGATGTTAACTTGAGATAATTCTACACGTTCATATACAAATCCGCTGTCCATTGCCAGCTGCACCAACATGATCAGCCGCCTGACCTTCAGCCTCCCCTCCCCTCACCTATGACACTCTGCCAGTTGGGAACCACGCAGATGGTGGAGCCAACGGGCAAGCTGTTGATGTCCTTGAGGCCTGTCACAGAATCAGGTCCGACGCCTCGGGCTTCCGGTCTCTCCCTCCACCTGGGTTGAGCCGCAAGATGTCATCGACTGTCATCCCGAACCTCCGCGATACTGCGAGGGAATTTTCTCCCTGCCATGCCGTGGGTAAGACCAGCCAAGTGAAGGAAGTCCAGCTACCTGGACGATGTAGTAGGGATGCGCGTAGTAGCGAGGAACGAGCGTCTGCTTGAAGTCTGGATTGATCGTCTGAGGATTTTGCAATGTCCCTGAACAAGAGAGTAAGAAAGCGGCCTTCGGAGCGATGGGCGAGGAAACAAGTAACCGTCACGTAACAGCAAGGGAGAAGGCAGCAAGGCAAGAGCGAGTAGGGAAGGTGAGCAGGGATGAGAGCAAACTAACCCTGATTGAGAGACCAAATGGTAATCCAATCGGACCTGACAAGCAGCATGAGTCCAGCGACGGCACATGAGCTTCTTTACTTGTAGCTTGAGGCGACCGAGTACAGGCTGTCGTGCAACTGGAGGAGGCGCCTGCACGGGGTGGCAGGAAGCAAGTGCCCGACAAGCTGTCCATTATCGTCACAAAAGTGCGAGGACAGGTACAGGGATAGACCTGGCTCGTACACCCGGTTGCACTGGTTTTGACAACCTGAGCAAACCATCACACCGACCAAACAAGAATGTCGACAGAAATCACCACAGTGCTGTTCAAGAAAGGCCCTGCAGAGTTGTACAGCACGTGATAAACCTTATTCATGCTCGAATCATACTTTTCAAAAAGATCAGCGTTGCAAGAGGCGAGCATAGCTTGTGGGTACATTAATTTCAGCTGGGTATGTGTGTTTCTCATCTACAGAGCATGGCGTAACCCCATCAGCCTGAAACACAAAACCACTGAGAAAGAATCTGACTGACGGTCTGAAACCAACCTTGAGCCCCGAGAAGGAGCCGCTGACGCAGCTCGAGTATTGCTGAGTCTGTAGTGTGGCTAGACGAACGCTCGTCGTGGATGTCACTTCCACCGAGACTGAGAGGATCATGGATAGCAACGTTCAGCTCAATCGTCTGCGCCGTCATCACCATCACCTGGAGTTGGGATGCTCCTTGAAGGGTCTCGAGGAAGTTGTACGAGAGTGGCTGATAACTTCTCATCCGCTGCCCCGCTCGTCAAGCGCGTGAACCATCAAGACGGTACACACCACTTAGCAGAACATTCGCAAACGCGTAAGGATGAAGGTTGCTCGCTGCGCCTGCCATCTCAGAGTGAATGTCCCCTTTTCGTCATGTCATGATGCAGCACAAGCTGTCGCCGAGTTCAGTTCTGCTTCTAGGCAGGTGACAACTTGAAGCTGTTGTTGCAGCAGCATCAGGATCAGCACGCAGGTATCGCATGTAAGGATCTCACCTGCCCTCTTAGCTCTCCCGTTGGAACGCGATCAGTCGGCACGTTAACATAGGCAAGCCCGTTACGCAGAGCATCCATAAGCTGCGAGAGTCTCATCTCACATAGAGAGATTTCAGTTTGATCGGACCTTGGGAAGATCAGCTGGTTTGATCCTAGAGCTACTGCTCCATAGACTGCATTTCGACAACTTCAAACGCAGTCGAGGAGCAGGAGGAGAGAGGGAGGGAGGGAGGGAGGGAGGGAGGGAGGGAGACCTCTGATCCAGAGACAAACTGGGAACACTCAATGTAGCAAGAGGAGCGACACCAGCTGCAGCCTTTCCAGAGGTCAACCGAACTTGAAAATTCTGCAAATGCCCCAGAGCACCTCTTGTGTTGCGTCGTACGGCCCATAGATGGCCGGAGGCAGGAACAGAGGAATGGCTGCCGAGTCGGGTGTGGCTGGAGACAAGAAAGATGAGGAGGAGGACGGGGAATACAAGTCAGACCTTGAACTTGGAGCGTGACCTCCAGGTAGGTTCCATCAGGCGACAGGGCGACTGTGGCGAATCCCTGTTGGTTCAAGTCAAGACTGGAGGAAGACGCGAGGAGGAGCAGACGGATGATGTAACACACCTTGAGGTTGTTGCAAGGCACTCCTGCACAATAAACTGGATGGATCTACAACAGAAGTTAACCTGTCATCTCCTACTCTTCTTGCTATGACACGGTGAAAAGTAATGGGAGCCAATGGAAAAGACAACAAATGCACTCGAAACGACATGCACCGAAGGAAGACAGACGGGAATAAAAACAACAAGAAAGAGACTAGGAATAGTCATCCTTGAGCCTGTTTAGCAATGGCATCCGGCATTACCTCGTTGGAAGCGTCTAGCCATGCGGCATACGTTGGACAAGATGCATGAACCGCGGGGGGAATCAGGAGAGCTGAAAGACTTGTGAGCCCAGAAAATATTGACATGTAGACGATAAGAGTACCAGCTAGAATCAATGGGATGATCTGTATAGGATGGCCCTGTGGAAAAATCAGATGAGCTTCATGGAGTATCCAGTACCACGAAACCAAACACAATCAAAGAGAAAGGAGCTTTGATACCAAACAAACACCAATTTGTAAGACTTGTTGAATATCGCAAAGAGAGTATCATTTCAGATCAACTTATATCTTCTTCGTGCTCGCATTATCAATCGCGTTCATACCTCCTGCCGCATGGCGGCGAAAAGCCGAAAGGGATCTGGTATATCAAAGCGGGCCCTGTCAAGTAATATAATTACAATTACAGTAAAAGAGATTTCAAATGTACCTCAAGAATTATTTGACGATAATCAAATTGATGTGGTAAACAACCCCTTACCTAAAATGCCATGCGGATATCCAACCGGTGAAATAACCGTCTCTTAACCGCTATTGATATTCTTCTCAACGGCTTATAACGACTCAATCTGACCGTTGTATGTCGGTTGCATGCCTATCGGACTCGGACTCGGACTGTCCAGGCTGGGCGCGGCAGTCGGCCAGCCCCGGCGGGGCCCGACGGTCGTAACGGCCGGCGGACCTCCTCGGCGCCTCATTGCAGAAATGGGGGAAGAAGTGAAAGGAGAAGCTGCAGGAAGAAGTGAAAGTAGAAGCAGGCATGTTCAAACTAAGGGTTCCGAGTTCTGAGGCAGTGCCGTCTGCCAGTGATCGGACATACGTCCGACTCGGCACATGCTCATCAAGTCATGAGGATTGACATGGCATCATACTTCACCCTTGTTCCTCCTTGTTACACTGACGGATGATCTGAAATGACAGTCAGGAGCAACCATTCAGCTGCCCTGGCAAATATGAGCGAGCGAACAATGCGTTCAACTCAAATCTTTGCACTGGCAGACCCCAAAGATGCAACAGAGGTCAGTAAACTTACAAACCAACTGATGTTCATGATTATTCTGTCTTACGATGTACCATCTGGACAGACTCGAAGAGCAAGAAAGGCTGTTGACTCCCCATCCCTCAAGGCGCACATGGATGTAATCAAGAATGCACTTGTACCAAGAGCTGAAATTGACTCCGCATGCGTCAGGTCTCTATGATGCAAAGTGACTCCGAAGACAACTTTCATGGGAGAAAGTGGAAGAAGGCAGACTTTGACTGCTGTCTTGTGCCACTCATTCACTGACATGCGATCTGTCCAGGTCATCAAGCCTAGCGATCAAACCGCCCCTGGTCGCCTTCAATCGGAGATGGACCAAGTGGTATCGTCAGTGCTTCCATGAGGCTTCGCGATTGTCCTCCATTCTCACTCCTCTCCTAGTTTACCAAATCCTTCGCTAGAATCGGCGTGCAAGATCGTCCAAGAGAAGTGAGACAGGTTTCTTGCTGCATCCATCCTGACTGACCATCTCCCCTCACCAAGGATTTCTTTGGACCCTCCACGGTCCTTGAGAAGTCGAGCATGAAGCGGCCCAGCAGCTCGCAATCGCAGCGATCCAAGGCAAGGTTGGACTTCGAGAAGCAGTCGACGATGTTCAGAGAGGAGAACGGGGTGAACGGGATCCTAGCCGGCAAGTGGCTGAAGGATATGATCGTCTGACCCTCTGAACGGTGCGTGATGTTGACAGGTGCGGGAGCCTGTGAGATCCCGTGGAAGAGCAAGCGACACGTGGCCCAGACGTCCTCTCAGAGCGCGTTGGACTCGCATGTGCAACTGGATCACCCCGATCACGGAGGATCTCGACCCATCCAGCTGGACAAGTACAATTCCTAGAGGTCCTGACGTGTCAATTGATCCATCCATTCTCTCAGGAAACAACAAGATGTCAATATCTGCCATGGCTCACCAGACAAAGACAAGAAGGAGATAACGTAAGAACTGAACCCCCCAATATTGGAATCTATCGGGCTGTTTATTGCTGTGTCTCGTCTCCAAAGTTCTAATATCCATTGCAGGCCAAAATCGATGGAAGAACTTCATCCTACGACGAACTCAACGCCGAATAACTTTGTGCGGCAAGCTGAGACGATGGAACAAGTCAGTCAATCAAAACCTTCATCGTCGCAGTAAGCACCTGCATGCACAAGTTTGTTCCCACTCACTGACCATCCAAACAGCGAAGGACGAGAGATCGACATCAAGCAGATAACGAGAGAGAGCAATGGGGAGAGAAGGAAGGACCTGCAGCAAGGAACCAGGCAGACTCAACTTTCTGCTAACCCGTGAGCAGCTGCTGTTGAGCCGGCAGCCCGTCTGCTTTATTTCTGGACCAACTGAGTTGATTCTAGATACGCTTCGTCTCCACGATCAGATGTGTCAGCGCGCTCGCAGCCTTCTCGATCGTCGTCTGCGGCAAAGAGCACTCAAGTCACGTCGTGGGTTAAGGAGGACTCCTGGTTATCTCAGCGGTATGGGAGAAAACGTTTCGACAGACCGAGGTATCTGCACCCTCGCTTTCTTGTCTTGCTTCGCCGCGCCCGGGGCTCTGCACCACGGGTGACTGCCGGGTGTTCACTGAGTGCCGCAATGACTTCACTGTTTCATATCACGTAACTTGAACTGTTCGAGCAGGACCGCACAGTTGCCCCTTGGTGCGGCCTCAGCGCCGTTTGGGATCAGCCTGGATTGACCGGCCACTTCAAGTTCTCAGGCGCGATCGTAGCCTTAGTGCCTCGGACTCGTAACACATGATAAGTTCCGAAACTTTCCGATCGACCATGCCAGTTTCAAGTGTCATTATGCCAGGACTCGAGTCCTGATAAGCTTGGCACATTGAAGGGCCTGCGGCCGCTGAGGCTCGGACACGCGGCAAACTTCGGAGTTCCAGGCAGTGTGAACGGCGTCCAGTCAGCGGCCGGTAGCCTGGCGGCCTTCCGTTCCGGGTCAACTTTATCGGGGGGACCGTGTGGACTCGAGTCGAGCGGCCGACTCGGCGAGTCACGGCACGGTCACCGGGTGCGCAACGGCCGGGGCCGGCCAGCCTGGCAGCCCGGCTACTACGGTACGGTATCAGTACAGTACGAGGACAATCAGCCTGAGGGTAGAGCTGGCTTGACCGGCCCTGACACTGTCGCACACGGCGGCGAGAAGAGAAAAGACAGCCCGGCGCAGTCACTGTCCGATCGTACGGTCCGGGCTGTGACGGTGCCGGTGCCATGTATAGTACGGTCAGAGTCAACTTGCAGGGGGCCTTCCGAGTTCGCCTCGGAGTCACTTGTCAGACGGTCCGATCAAGAGCCGCTATGCCCCTTGCCACGCAAGCAACTCAGCCCATGAGTACCACTACCCTCTCTTTGGATCCTTCTCTTATGTTGCACCGGTGGTTTTGACTTAGATCTGATGGGTATCCCATCGACGATGGAGGTTCAGTAGGGTGGTAGTAGTCTTGTACGACCCTACCTCTAATGCCTGATCGCTCCTCTTTCCTGCTGAAGGGGAGAGAGGATGCGGGAGTCGTGCGAGCATGTTGCAAGATAGATAGATAGATAGATAGATAGAGGAGCGAAGCAAAGCGATGGAGGATAGAAGAGAAGATATGCATAGTGTGAGAGAGCAGAGGGGTTCGAAAAGACAAGAGGGATGAAGAAAAGATGGAAAAGAGCAGCGAGATGCTGGGCGCGAAATTAGCACTCTGTTGCAAAGAAGCAAATGAGCGAAATACCGGCAATCAAAACGATTGAAAAACGTCACGAAATGGCGAAAGACTTTGAGCGTGGGGGATGAGCAAGCTCCTTAAATCTGAAGAGCAGAGCTTGTCCGCTGCTAGTTTGCTGAAATATTGTGAGAACAAAGGATCACTCTGCGACCCTCAGTCGCACTTTATTCTTATGCTCTGTATTTGCTGCTCGGGTCAATTCTGTCTGTTCGTTTTTAGCTTTACTGTGGAGATGGCGCGTCAACCATACTGTGGTTTTAAATGCAGAACATACTTTTGATGAACGTTTCCTGTAGTTGATCATTGTGAAGCAGCTACCGTGTTGTTGTGTTTTTCAGGGAAAATGGGCGAAGAGCAAGCTGTCTTTATTTCTTCCCTGTGTTCCCCCTTCTAACCATCTCTCTGAGGACTCCCAAACTTTTGATGCTACTCAAGAATACATATCAATGTGCTGACGGATTTGTGTAGATGCCTCGTGAAAGGACCTTTATTATGATCAAGCCTGATGGCGTGCAAAGGGGACTTGTTGCTAAGATCATCGAGAGGTTTGAGCAGAAGGGCTTCAAGCTGGTGGGTCAGCTTTGTTTAACATAATTTTTTATTGTGCAAGATTTGACGAAAAGGTCAAAAGGTTGGTTTGAAGTTTATGCAAGCGTCTGAGGATCTGCTGAAGGAGCACTATGCCGACCTTTCTTCCAAGCCTTTCTTCGCTGTAAGCTACTTTTGAGGGATGAAATGCGACCGGTTCTGAGGTAAACTCAAGGGTTTGGTGGAGTACATGAAGTCTGGCCCTGTTGTTCCCATGGTGAGTACGGCAATGTCATTTCTTAACATCAGCGGACAAATGCCGTGATAGAGCAGGGCAGCTTACATTGTCAATATCTGAAATTATGTGTAGGTTTGGGAGGGGGATGGTGTGGTGAAGGCTGGACGCACCCTGTTGGGAGCCACCAAGTATTTTGATTAGCTATCAGTGGTTCTCGAAGTTGACAACGAGATTCGCAGACCATCTGAGTCCGCCCCTGGCTCCATCCGTGGAGATTTCTGCATTGACGTTGGTCGAAACATCTGTGAGGATTTAGATTTGATAGAGTATTTTCTGAGTCTCCTTCCAGGCCACGGATCTGATGCTGTGGAATCAGCGAACAAGGAGATTGCTCTTTGGTTCAAGCCTGAGGTAGTTTTCTGAATCTCTGCACACTGTCTCGATTCATGGTTTTCTTTCCAGGAGCTTGTTGATTGGAAGTCTCACTCGGAGTCATGGGTCTATGAGAAGTGAACTGATGACCATCATGTAGAGCAACGGATGTTCAGTACAGCTGTTGTAATCGATGCTTTCATTCTCATTTTTATAGAGGTTTCTACTACCACAACTGCAACTCCACCATCAAGCTCAACACCATTCCTATATCTCCGTTTTCATATTCATCGGGGGGTATTCAAATCCAATCAGAATCCAATCGGAAGTGGAATGGTACAAGTTTTCACCTCAAGTCTGTTCCTAACACTTTCAGCAACATTTGGGTATTTATTGATTTAAAATACATGGTGTGACAACCAGGCTTGATGTAACATGCACACAGCATCACCCTGACAAACTGGTTTGACTGCTCGACCTGCTAAGGCTTCTCCTATCATACAACGAAGGAAGCTTGACATCCTTCCTTGGTAACAACCCATCTGAATGTTCGACGATAAGTTCTTCAATCAAGTTTATGGAGTTCCATAAACTTGCAAGTTGCTTGCGTTTGGAAGGTCTGATTCGTTTCCAAGTGTCCATCCTCAGTCCAAAAGGGAGCTCTGATTCCGGTTCCGATTCTGCTTCTTGCTCATCACGTTTCTCTGAAGGCTGTATCGAAGCGTCGAAGCTGTCTGATCTCGGCATGTGTGAGCACATTGATTCGTGCTGAATGTTATACTTGTTCGAAGCTGTTACCCTCCAGAGCTGTCAATCGGGTATATATCGTGCTTGGTATAGGCGACCTTCTCCGTTCGACGATGGGATGCGCCCCACCCCCACCCATGTCTCGAAGAACCCTTACAGGCACGTACCCACCCCACAGTATTCGACGAACTACCCGGTACTATCCTCCTCATGCTATTCATGTCAAGTACCCCTACCCACCCGTGCTCGAATAGGTCATTCATCCTCGTGACAGTATCTATTGATAGCAACGTTTCGCATCTCAGCAGGAACATTGTGGCGAAACGGTGTCTTTTTCTTGAAGAAGTCGGGGCCCAAAAATCCAAGTAAACCTCCTTCACCAAGACGGTAGAGGGGGACATCCGAGGGGAGCTCGGAACTCGACCATGACTGATCTCTGACGGTCCAGCGCGTTCCAGCCCGGTCACGCGCAGGCTACGGCCTTGGGACCGCCTGGTCTGCCGCGTGTCATCAGATATCCTCAGCGTGACCGGATACTCGCTCGAGGGCTCTCGAAACGACATCCCAACGACGATGGTCACACGTGCACCGGGGTATGTATCCAGGTGACGCATGTAGTAAAGAAAACGTTCACGCGACCATGGGCGCGTGTCTCGTGATCAGGGTTGGCCGGCCCCTTGTCGGCCTCATGCTCCGAAGAAGTTTGAAAAATTCATTTTTGGAAAACTTAGAAGAACTGAAAAGACGTGTTATCAGCTTTACCTGGGTCTGCCCTGTATAAAGTAGACTTGCGAAGGTCTGCGGACCATAACAACGAACCGACCATGCACTGCCACGCGGGAAACAGCAGCTCTGTAGAGAGCAACAGGAAGATTGAAGCATCATATGTCGACCACCCTTCACAAGCCTCCGCGGTTTTTCCTTTCGGGTTGACAGAACAGAAATGGAACAGCCTTTCACCCGAAAAGCGCTGGAAACTGAAGTGTCTGTCGAACTCTATCGCCTTGGTTGAAGAAAGAATCGCGAACAAGGGACATGGCAACAACATCATTACAGAGGCTGCTCTCCCATCCTTGTACACAAGATATAGAGGTTCACAGAGAAAATCATGCAACTAAGTTGGCATGCGTGTTATGATAGTCATGTTTTGTAAATATTTATGTTTGAAATAAATCTTTGTGCTAATGGTTGTTGCATTGAGAATGCCAAGGGTTCACACAACCCTGTAGTCTAGTCATTCGCGTCTTGCCTTCACTTGCCGACTCTTGTTCGTTGTAAGTTGTGTCGATAAAAAAGGATCATTCACCCCCTATCCCGCAATAACGAAATTTTGAAGTTACGTGCCGGAATTCTATCGGACGAGGAAAATCTTAGCCCGAAGGAGGTTCAATGCTTCCCATACATCTTTTCGGTGTGGTAAATTTTCCTGCAGTCGAATCTCTTTCTTGAAAACATTGATTTCTCACTGAGCTCTGGCAAAACAAGCTCAAATCAGACCAGACTGACTCAAGGCAAGAGTCAGCACTCGTGGATGGGCTAAGTGATGATCTCATTATCGACATAGTCAGACAAGTGGACTCTCAAACGACTGAAAGCATTCAACGGCTAGATGTGCTCAGGAGGAAACCCAGGGGGCCGAATGAGTTACAACCCCAGTTCTTTTCATGAGCATATGTAAGAATCAGGCTCCTCAGCTTGCAGGGTCTGTTCTGGTCTGTTCTGATTTTGTGGTTTGGAAGGCTTGTCTATTGTCGCTAGTAAAGTATCCATTATTGTTCTTTACCTTGAGGGGTGGTCCAGCGGAGGCGCCTTGAGTTTGAGTCATTCGTTTGGACGTCTTCAACCCGCAAAGCTACGGGTTATGATATTATGATGTAAGAAGAAGAAAAGAAATTCTTGATCAATCATGATTACGACAAAGCTTGCAAGAGTTGGTGCTCTTTGTGTGTGATGGTGATGTCTTGTTGATGTTTGAGGCCATGAAAGCGTAATTGGAGGGTCAAGTATTGGCAGAAAACACCAACCTTACGAAAGCTTGTTGTTTGGGTTCGATCAGTTGGTCGTAATGAAACTCTTTGTTTTGGAAATTGTCGGAGCTCTGACATTACATTAATTCTCATTTCCGCAAGCGACCAGCCTCCGTTGCATCAGAACTCTGACAGACACATGTTGACGAATCAATGAGGCACCAGTGCCTCGAATCCATACTCCTGTTTCAAGGAAATCTGGAGAAGAAAAGGGTGTTGTTGAAACTTGAGAATTCCAATCGAAAAACTTTATTATTATGTACAAATAGAACGTGGACGCACGCATATACCTTCAGTGAACTCAATCTACAAATGTTCTCGACTACTGCTGCGGCTCATGCTTTTCCTATCATAAAGAGAAGGTAATTTCACGTTCTTCCGGTCTGCAGCACCATGTTGAACTTCAGCCGAAATGAGATCTTCCACAAGGCGGATGGAGTTCCACAAGCTCTCCAACTGCCTTCTCCTCAAGGGCTTCAGCTTGTTCCATTCTGCTGTGCTGATTCCGAATGGACAAGCGAAGGTCTCGCAATCTTCTTCTTCGTCGAGGCTGAAATCTCTTTCTGCCGGTTTGATTTCATGGTTAGCTGTCACATCTTCGTGGAACATGTTGATCATGGCTGCGTAGGTGTGGAAGGGATCTTGACAAACCTTGCTCACCGTCCAAACTCATATTTTGCCTCCCCCTCACTGGAACTGATCGGTTCGTATCTCAGCCCTCGAAAACACGTTATTTCATAGCACAATTGGATATGTCACGCGGATGCTTACCGATGTCACATGGCTGGAGCCCTTTTCGAGCGCCAAGAAGGTGAACCCGTTGATTGTTGTGACGAAACGATTCTTTATCACGTCGTTTCGACCTGGTACTAATGGATCTTTCCCGCCAAAACGTCAGACCGCACCACATACCTCCGAGGCGGACTTCTCTGTGCCGGCCCGAAACTTCTGCCCTTCGGAAGTGGAGCCGCCAAGGGGCCCCGGGCTCGGGCGCGGGAACAATGAGGGAACAATGAGACGGCCCCCCGCATCCCATCGGTCGACTGGAGGGTCTGAGGGGGCCGATCCGACTGCCGCGCGGTCAAACTGGCCTCCTCTTCTCTAGAGTCACGGTACCCTATGATCGTTCAACCTTGAAGTCACGATAGTGTACTGAATGATGGCTGATCGGATTCAGGTGACTCGTGACCCATCAGTGCTAGTCACGCAGGGAATCAGGATCGGACCGGGGCTCAGCAGCACTGGGCACTGACTCGGAGACTGCACACTGAGAGACTCATGAGCATCATGGCCACTGCGCGGCACATCGGATCGGCCGGAGCTGGAAGGGCCTCCCGCCGGGGTCCGTCGGACCGTTGGTGGCCCCGCCGAGTGGGTGGGCCGGCCGGGCGCCGCCGTACTAAGCCCAGGCTGTACGGCCGCGAGGGTCACGTAGTACCCAGTTAGATCAGAGACTCAGGCTCGCCGCGCCGCAGTGTCCATCCGTCGCAGAACTTCACTCCCGAAGCCGCTAGAAGGTTGCTCAGTAACTTCAGTAACTTTCAGCGTATGAAGTCAATCAGTCGGCCCCAGTGTGGCAGTCGTCGGATGGGCCCATTACTTTGGGTAAACCGCACAGTACGGCTTCTACAGTTCGATTTAACTACGCAAGCAGCTCGAAGTGTGCATCGCAATGACAACTTAGCATCCTCAACATTGCGTCACACATCATGAATCCTGGACAGTGTTCTTCAATTCATTGCAACGAGCTAATTGGCAAGTTAGAGGACGTCGAGCTTACCACCTCACCATGTACAAAGCACGGGGAGCTACCATCATCTGCAAGACAGGGCTCACAGGGTGTAAATAAAATCAAACAGATGTCAGCACCCTTCCATGGGAGCGCACAGCGTCCTCCTCAGAATCGCATCCATCAAAGCTGATCCCCATGGTCTGCAACCAACAGGCGATCAGTCCTCACATCTTCCGGCACAAGTCATACTGACCGATTCAGTGTCAGGAGGGTTCCAAACCTGCCATCGGAAACTCAGATGAGGAAGAACCAAGAAATTCTGCTCACGTCGCCAGAGGCCGTGTTGTCAGGCATGTCAAGGAAGGGGCCCATCTGGGGCTCGCCGTTCCCCTTGAAGAAGGATACGTCTGGATGCAGGTAGTACAGAATTCTCTGAGGGAGGACCTTGAAGAACTGCAACAGCCGTCAACCTCTTGGTCACAAAGGATGAGATGTCGTGGCCATCAGGTGGCAATGAGTTCCAAACAGATAAACAGCAAACATCGAGAGTGACATGAAACATGCTCAAAGAAATCAGGGTGTGGGTTTCATGTTTCGGAGAAGATAGGGAGGTGGGAAAGCACTTGAATGAGAGATCATGAAGAAGCCAGGATAGACACATCTATTTCTGCACAAAACCAAACAAAAACTGAACTGATAAGGACTCGAACTGAACTTGAAAAGGACTCGTTCAGTTTTCAATAATCAAAGCAAGGAATAAGATCTGAAGAAAACTCACGAAATGATTGCAGCATATCAATCAATAAAGGCCGACAAACAAACAGAACAATTCAAAGATTTCGCTTGAACCAAAAACCAAACGACAAACAAAAATCCCAATACTGAGTAGAGCCCATTATACGAGTCAACAATCGCCCCATTCCTCATTGTTCATCATATTCATTTCGCATTTGTATAGTCACAACGTCAGCGTCAGCAGCTCCCTGCTACTTCTAGATGCTGCCCCCGTCGCTTCATTCTCACCATGTCGCCAAGTGTCGTGTGAACTACCCCACCGGTCTATGAGCACCGGAAGGGGGACAGGGGGGGGTGGGGGTAGGTGCAATTCTCTAGATTATTTTCAGTTCTCAGTAATTTGTCCCTGGCCCGGACATGCCCGGACAAGCACCCGGGGGCCTGACCGGCCCGGCGCACCGCAACACTACTGACAGGTTTCGTGCGGCGGGCTCAGTCCTTGCGCCGTGTTACAAAGGGGAACGCGTGGCTATGGCGAACAGGTCGAGGAGTGAGGAGAAGGGGAGGGAGAAGGGGAGGGGGACAACAAGCAGGTCGAAGGTGCTGCTTCTGACCATGATCTCGATGAGCCTGCTCGACTGGTGCAGTTGCTTCATGCTTTCTCCTTCCCAGAGCTCGTTCTTGTCTAAGGCCTGCAGTCCTTCCAAGGTTGCAGGCTCCCCATCCTTCCAACCTTCCAACGCGCGAAAGTTTGTCAGGACAGCGAACCCTCGACCGATGTCTTTGAAAATGAGAGAAGAGGAGGGAAAGAGGGACAACGCGATTGATCGCCGAGATGTCGCCAGACTCGTTAGTGGGGCCGTCGGATTGACTGCTTTTCAGCTCTTCGGGTGTGTTGATGTTTGTTGTCTCAATGATGTGTCAACTGACAGTCAGACAAGAAGCAAACCAGCAGATGCATTCACAATGAAGGCAGTGATGAAAGTCTGGAATGATCCTTCCATCTTCATCAAGGTCTTGGATCCCAAGGTGGAGGACGAGGCACTCAGCAGGTGGGCAAGGATTTGTTGGAACAAGATTCAGCAGCTGAGTTGAATCCTTCTACAGGTACAGGAGATCGTTGAGATCCGTGTCTTCTCTCACTAAAGCAGAAGCGGTCATGCTCCATCTCTCGCTAGCTCCCCTCTCTCTAGAATCCTGACGGGATTTCTTCTCACAGGCTGCGTACACGGTTGAGTTTGACGAGTTCGTGGAGGCTGTGTCGAAGGTTCCGACTTGACAGTGCTGCCTGCAAGCTCATTGATTTCCTGCTGCTCCTGCCCTCAGGTGAAGAAAGTGAAGATCGGAGATCAGATCGTCGAGAACCCAACGGAAGAGCAGCTGTTGAAGGTGAGCCTGCTTCGTCTGAGGTTTCGACCCCTTGAATGTTCCCGCCCTGTCGGGTCTCTGCAGGCCTGGAAGGAGGAGGAGATCAGACGGGCTAAGGAGAGAGAAGAGAAAGGGGACGAGCCGTTGACCAGGCCTGTGAGACTCAAGGAGGAGCAGTCGGACAAACTGCAGACTTACTTCCTCCCTCCTGTTGTCACCAAAGACTCGACTGCACAGGTCCATGGCCTTGTTGGGCGCTAATGTTGGCTGATGACATCGTCGTCAGACCATCGCTCTCGGCAAGCACCTGCAGTCTGTTGGAGCTGTGATGTACGGTGCCTACTGGTGCTCTCACTGCTACAACCAGAAGCAGGTGAGAGAGAGGAGGCGTGTCGTTGATACTGTTGTTGTTCTGTGACATGTTCTGGGGTAGCTTCTTGGAAGGCAAGTCGCAGATGAGACGTTGAAGTATGTTGAGTGCGACAAGAAGGGTGCTTACAGCAAGCGCGACATGTGCAAGGAGAAGAAGGTGAGAAACGCATGAACGGGTAAGGGAGGGGGGGCGGGGGTCTGACCTGGGGACAGGTTCCGGGGTTCCCAACGTGGGAGATCAATGGCGAGCTGTTCCCTGGTGAGAAGAGCCTGGAGGAGCTGGCGAAAATCTCCGGGTTCGATCTTTCCTCGGTGAAGTGAGGAGAGGAGGGAGATGGTGGAACAGGAGGGAAGGGGATGGGATGGGAAAGGAGCTGGAGTGATTGAGAACTGCATTCTTGTTTTCACCAAGAAGAGATAGTGTTGTTTCAGTTGGTCCCTTCCTCCTGTGTTCCTCCCCTTCAAAGGGCGTCCAGTGCTTGACTGTTAAGATGCTAATCTGCAAACCGCCTGCTCCTCAGCAGTCTTGTTGTTCACCTCGAGTACTTCTCATGAAACGTAAGGAACGTTTCGCCCGGCAGCCTGACAGTGGGTGTATCAAGAGTTTGCTCACAACCAACGATGGGGCGTCACCCGTACAGCGACTGAGCGTTCTTGACCAGCAGCTCAACTCGATCGTATTGATGGACTAGAGCAACAACGTTTCCATCGCACTGGTTCATCCCGTCACTCGAGACCCTCCCGATGCAGCAGCTTCACCTTGTCTCCTTCCAGTTCCCCGCAGCCAGTTAAGACTTCCCCGTCCTGCATCGTCCAGCAGTCACGGCGGGCAAGTTAGTAAGCGTGTTTGCCCTCCTCCTCCCTTTCCTCGTTTGTGTAAATCTTCTTCATTGTCCCTACGGTAGCTAGCAAGCTCGTCTCCGCATCATAGCTCGTCACTTCCATCACCTGTGAAATGTCATCATGAGCTTGTTGAGCAGCGTCTCCGGCAATATCATCGTCATCTTCATTGTTATCATCATCATCATCGTCGTCGTCGTCGTCGTCGTCGTCGTCGTCACCATCACGACCACCATTACGACCACCATTACGACCACGACCATCATCATCATCATCATCATCATCATCATCATCATCATCATCATCATCATCACCATCATCATCATCATCATCATCTTTCTCATACCTTCTCCAGGTCTCCAGTCCACAACATCTTGTTGTGCATCCCCTGATCATTGCACCAAGCTTTCCATCTCTTTGCTTCTCGTCATGCTACAGCCTCAAAACTAAAAAGGCGCTCACTGCTCCATCGAAAGTCGTTATTCTCCCCTCGAATCGTTTTCCCAAATCTTCTTTCACCTCTCGCACCTGCAGCAGCAATCTTCAACTCAAATTGTCATCAAAATAAACATCATCATCAACATCATCTCTATCAGCGTCATTATTATTATCATCTACATTGTCTCCATTATCAAGATCATCGGCATCATCGTTTTGTCACCGTCCGTGCAGCTTCTTCTTCCATCATCGTGCAATATGTCAAGATCGCTTCTTGTGTCCCGATCACAGTTCCAGCGCACGACCTACTACTTCCCGCAATGGCCGGAAGCACCTTAGAGAAGAAACAAGTCAATGTGAAGAGCGGGGAAAGATTGTGAGCTCACCTTGTCGGCATCATAGTCGGGACATTCAGACGTCAACCAGCTGAAAGAGGAGAAACGTGAGGAGACAACAAGAATGGCAAGCGTCTTAGGATGATCTGACATGTCTGCAAGGGTTGACCTGACATGATTGCAAGGTTTGAAGTGAAATCATCTTACCCAACATGGATGGGACAGGCTCCTATCGTCAAGTGCGCCGGCTCGAGCGCAACCCCGATGCCTCGTTGGACTTTCTAGGAGGGAGAAGTTTGAAAGGACGGGGAGAGATGGCAAACAACTTACGAGGTACAAGAAGGGGTCTCTTTGAAAGAGAACATCTCTGATGTCGCAGAGGAGAACCTTTGCGGGCACATGTCAAGGAGGCGGAGCAATAAAGTTGCAAGGATTGAGAAGTCATGAAAGTTACGGAGCGCGCAAGAAACGAACAATCTGATAGACAACCTGATCGAACTTGGTCGTCGACTTCTCCAGATATTCTCTAAAGAGGGTGAAACGATGAAGGTTCATCGGCCCTCTCTTAAGAGCAGAGTCACCCAGAAACAAAATTTCGCAAACAACATCATTAAAGACAACACGACAACACGACAATATCATCAAGGCATGCAAGAGGCATCGTTATGCACGACAACAAGACAATATCATCAAGGCATGCAAGAGGCATCGTTATGCACGACAACAAGACAAGCAAGATGTCGGCATGAAAGATAGCAAGACCACAACACAGCGTCAGGACACATCAAGATCCTCTCTACCTCCGCGGACATCGACTTGTCGTCATATTCCACGATCTCGGCATCGAACACGTCCGCCACTTCTTGCAGATCGGCCCTCCCCCTCTCCGCGCTCATGATAACAACCTGCCTCCTCCTCGCGTCAGACGCTCCTCATCGCGGCAAGTTTCACCTGCGCCATGCACCCCGTGCTCCTTAGAGACGCTAGGAACACCCGAACCTCATAGGGCAGAAGGCCCTTCTGCGTGCCGAGGATAACGTTTCTCTGCCCTTCCTCAAGGGAGGAGGAGGAGGAGGAGGAGGAGGAGGAGGAGGAGGAGGAGGAGGAGGAGGAGGAGGAGGAGGTGTGGTGGTGGTGGTTGGAGGAGGAGGAGGAAGACACGTGTCCCAGGAGGAGAAGCATGATAATTTAGTCCTGGAACAGTCTATCCATCTTTGACCGTCTTGCTCCTGCTCGCTGGCTGGCTATCACACACCTCCCTGG